TGCGTCGGAGGCTATCTTGAGCCGTCTGGAGCTATCCTGCGCCATCTTGGAGGCCATCTTGGGGTCTCTGAGGTCCTCCCGGAGCCATGGGCGACCATGGGGGCTCTAGCGCCTCGCGCCTCCCCCCCCCTCCCAGGCCCAGGGGGGAGGGGGTCGGAGGAGGGTCAAGACACGCTCCTGGACAGCAAGCCGTCTAGCTCACTCCCACCCGCCCTCCCAACAGATACGTAACACCCGAGCCTGAGCATGCTGAGCGGTCATCTTTGGATGGGCAGCTATTGGGAACCAAATCCGACCCCACGTGCGCGACGCTGGGGCGAGGTGCGCCACGCGTGCCAGGCGCGCCACGCGCGCCAGGCACCCCTGTGGCCCGCGCGTGCCCGACGAGGTGCGCCACGTTCGGGGCTCGTGCAGAGTGTGTCAGGTGCTCCTGCGCACGTGACAGCACACATCGGGAAACATGTCGGCCCCCACCACCCACGTCGAAAACCAATGCCCATCATTATGTCTGGTGGGCCTGCGCTCACCACTTGACAGTGATCGCGGGGCGGCCGCGCATGATCCAGATTTAGCCGCGAGGTTCATTTTGTATGTTTTTTTTGTTGTCAGGGATGGACGCTTTGCGTCAGGTGCACTTTGCCTCAAAGTGTTTAGTGTGTGATTTTTGACAGGGATTGTTTGGGGGGTGGCCCTCTTGAGGTCCTCATTGTTCCTGGTTGGCTGCCGGTCGCCTGGGGGAGGGGGTGTGTATCAATAGGGAGCAGTGATTCACCCCTCCCCCGAGCAGGGAAGGAGGGGTCTTGGCAGAGAGAGAAGGCAACATCCGTTACACCACCTACGCGCAGAGGGCTGGTGGGATTCGCAAAACATCATGTATTCCGGTGCAGGCATCCCGGTTCAGGCAGACTTGGTGCTGCTTCCATCTTGTCCGTACTCAAATTACACACACGCGAAAATATTTGGCTTGCGGGTCCTTTCCTTTCTGTTCCGTGGGATGGCGGTCCATAAGGCATCTTGGACCGTGTGGTCCGCGTTTGCAGTCGTCCTCAGCATCAGCGTACCCACTGCGACCTCGATCGGTGTGAGTTCCAAGCCGAAGTGTGCAGATGATGACGCCCAAATTATTGCGCTGGCTAACGGCATCGGCGTCAAGATCGGAGGTTGTGCTGAGGTGCAGGCTTATTGCGAAGATGCGGCGTACGGCAGCACTGTGCAGGCGACCTGCCCTGCAACGTGTGGCCTCTGCAGGGTGGCCAGCCCCAGCAGCTCCCAGGCGGCGAAGGTGCTGATGGACAGGAGCTCCAGGGGCTCCCGGGACGCAGATGATCAACAGTCCTTGGACAGGGCTCTGGCGGCGAAAGGGCCCGACCCCCCCGCGCCGACGCCGTGGCCGACGCCGTGGCCGACGCCCGCGGTGGCCGACGCCGAGGCCGACACCGTGGCCGACGCCGTGGCCGACGCGGTACCCGACGCCGTACCCGACGCCGAGGCCGACGCCGTGGCCGACGCCGAAGCCGACGGCGTATCCGACGCCGAGGCCGACGCCGTATCCGACGCCGAAGCCGACGCCGAACCCGACGCCGAACCCGACGCCGTATCCGACGCCGAAGCCGACGCCGAACCCGACGCCGAACCCGACGCCGTACCCGACGCCGTACCCAACGCCGTACCCTACGGCCTTCCCGACGCCGTACCCGACGGCCTTCCCGACGCCCTACCCGACGGCTTTTCCGACGCCGTACCCGACTGCCTTCCCGACGCCCTACCCGACGGCTTTCCCGACGCCCTACCCAACAGCTTTCCCGACGGCCTTCCCGACGCCCCGACGCCTAGCCCGACGCCCAGCCCGACGTATCCTTTGGGCTGGCCGACGCCACAACCAACGTTTCCTCCAGCTGCTCCTATGGCGGGCGGAGCTGCCGGAGGCGTGGCTGCCACCGGCGATCCCCACCTTCAAAATGTTTACGGCGAGCGGTTCGATTTAATGCAGGCGGGCAAACATGTTCTGATAAACATCCCTCGTGGAGTGAGCGCTGAAGACGCATTGCTTCTTGTGCAGGCCGATGCGCGCCGCTTGGGTGGAAGTTGTTCGGATATGTACTTCCAAGAACTGAACATTACAGGATCTTGGGCAGAGGCTAAGCAAGTTGGAGGGTATCACTACGGCGTACAACAAAGCGTTACGACGATTCAGCAATGGGTTGCAATTGGCCAGGTAGAGCTGAAAGTCGTCCATGGACGCACAGAGAGTGGCATCGTGTACCTGAATTTGTTTGTGAAGCATTTAGGGCGATCAGGGTTTGCCGTCGGAGGCTTGCTCGGGGAAGACGACCACAAGGACGCGATGACTCCCTCGGCGTCCTGTACCAAACACACTCGTTTGGCAGAAGCAGTGACGAGTGGCCAGGCTCCTTCCTCCGACTCGTCAGTTGCCACGGCAACCCTCGCGTGACCATGCGGGATATTGTAAGTCTAACACGCGGGTATGTGACAAGTACGCCCCTTCGGGCGACGCATGCTGTAAGGTTCTTCTGATCCGAAGAAAAAGAGGATGTACTAACCCTCAAGTGCAAACACTGTTTGGGGAAGAGGCCTCTAAAACAGTTGGCGGATGCTGGACATGGCCCCTAGTGCCATCTGAGAACGTAATGGAAGTGGCTTCAGACTGACGCCCCGAGGCCTTTGAAAAAGTCGCGTGACATCCTATTTCCCCAAATAGCAGTCCTCTCTGTTTGCCCCCCTCCCTCCTTTCAGGAGGAACTCGAGGCCGATTGCCCAGAGGGGACGCCTCATGTGCCCTCAACGATTTTCTGGTCACGGTCCGCATGCGTCCGCACTTCACCGAAGTGCAGCGTGAGGTGCACCAATTGGGACACCGTTCCGTGTCGTGCGTGTCGTGCGTGACCTGCGGGCGAGGCGAGGCGAGGCGAGGCGAAGGTGCGCGAATTCGCACACTGGTCAGAGGCCAGGGCCAAGTCAGACAGAGCCGAGTCGCCCCACGCCCCGGCCGTGGTGCGAACATTGTCCCGCTGGTTGTCTGGATGGCTACCCCGACAGTTGTCTGGACGGTTGTTCCCACGATGGTTGTCCCGATGGTGCTCCTCAATTCAGGCCCCCCCCCCCCTCGGAGGCTCAAACGGGGCGTCTCGGGGCCCTCTTTCGGGCCCTCTCGGGGCGCCCTCGGGCGCTCTCGGGGCCCCTCTTGGGGCCCTCTGGGGCCTCTGGGGGCCGTCCAGGGGCCATCTTGAGGCCTCCGAGGCCCATCGGAAGCGAAAAGGGGAGAAGGCACACATCATACATGTTGCTCGGGTGGTGGAGCCATTTTTGCCTCGTGGTGGGGTCCTTGGAGGGCTCGGAGGGCACTTGAAACCGTCATGGGGCCGTCCTGAGGCCTCCTGGATGTGCGTCGGAGGCTATCTTGAGCCGTCTGGAGCTATCCTGCGCCATCTTGTAGGCCTTCTTGGGGTCTCTGAGGTCCTCCAGGAGCCATGGGCGACCATGGGGGCTCTGGCGCCTCGCGCCCCCCCCCCCCTCCCAGGCCCAGGGGGGAGGGGGTCGGAGGAGGGTCAAGACACGCTCCTGGACAGCAAGCCGTCTAGCTCACTCCCACCCGCCCTCCCAACAGATACGTAACACCCGAGTCTGAGCATGCTGAGCGGTCGTCTTTGGATGGGCAGCTATTGGGAACCAAATCCGACCCCACGTGCGCGACGCTGGGGCGAGGTGTGCCACGCGTGCCAGGCGCGCCACGCGCGCCAGGCACCCCTGTGGCCCGAGCGTGCCCGACGAGGTGCGCCACGTTCGGGGCACGTGCAGAGTGTGTCAGGTGCTCCTGCGCACGTGACAGCACACATCGGGAAGCATGTCGGCCCCCACCGCCCACGTCGAGAACCAATGCCCATCATTGTGTCTGGTGGGCCTGCGCTCACCACTTGACAGTGATCGCGGGGCGGCCGCGCATGATCCAGATTTAGCCGCGAGGTGCATTTTGTATGTTTTTTGTTGTTGTCAGGGATGGACGCTTTGCGTCAGGTGCACTTTGCCTCAAAGTGGTTAGTGTATGATTTTTGACAGGGATGGTTTGGAGGGTGGTCCTCTCGGGGTCCTCATTGTTCCTGGTTGGCTGCCGGTCGCCTGGTCGCCTGGGGGAGGGGGTGTGTATCAATAGGGAGCAGTGATTCACCCCTCCCCCGAGCAGGGAAGGAGGGGTCTTGGCAGAGAGAGAAGGCAACATCCGTTACACCACCTACGCGCAGAGGGCTGGTGGGATTCGCGAAACATCATGCATCCCGGTGCAGGCATCCAGGTTCAGGCAGGCTTGGTGCAGCTTCCATCTTGTCCGTACTCAAATTACACACAATCGAACACATTTGGCTTGCGGGTCCTTTCTTTTCCTTTCTGTTCTGTGGGATGGCGGTCCAGAACTCACCTTGGACCGTGTGGTCCGCGTTTGCAGTCGTCCTCAGCATCAGCGTACCCACTGCGACCTCGATCGGTGTGAGTTCCAAGCCGAAGTGTGCAGATGATTGACCGCCAAAATTATTGCGCTGGTAACGGCCAATCGGCGGCAAGATTCGGAGGTTGTGCTCGAGGTGGCAGGCTTATTGCGAAGATGCGGGCGTATGGCAGCACCTGTGAAGGCGACCTGCCCTGAACGTGTGGGACCTGCAGGGTGGCCAAACCCCAGCAGCTCCCAGAGGGCTAGGCAGCTGATGGACAGGAGCTCCAGGGCTCCCGGGACGCAGAGGATCAACAGTCCTTGGACTCGCAGGCTCTGGCGCGAAAGGGCCCGACCCGACGCCGAGGCCGACGCAGTTGGCCGACGCCGTGGCCGACGACGTCGGTGGCCGACGCCGAGGCCGACACCGTGGCCGGACGCCTGTGGCCGACGCCGGTACCGACGCCGTACCCGACGCCGAGGCCGGACGCAGGGGCCGACGCCGACGAAGCCGATAACAGCCGTACCCGACTCCGATGCCGAGCGTATCCGACGCCCCCCCGAAGCGACGCAGAACCCGACGCCGTACCCGACGCCGAGCCCGACGCCGAATCCGACGCCGTACCCGACGCCGTACCCGACGGCCTTTCCGACGCCGTACCCCACGGCCTTCCCGACGCCGTACCCGACGGCCTTCCCGACGCCGTACCCGACGGCCTTCCCGACGCCCTACCCGACGGCTTTTCCGACGCCGTACCCGACTGCCTTCCCGACGCCCTACCCGACGGCCTTCCCGACGCCTTACCCAACAGCTTTCCCGACGGCCTTTCCGACGGCCTTCCCGACGCCTAGCCCGACGCCCAGCCCGACGTATCCTTTGGGTTGGCCGACGCCACAACCAACGTTTCCTCCAGCAGCTCCTATGGCGGGCGGAGCTGCCGGAGGCGTGGCTGCTACCGGCGATCCCCACCTTCAAAATGTTTACGGCGAGCGGTTCGATTTAATGCAGGCGGGCAAACATGTTCTGATACACATCCCTCGTGGAGTGAGCGCTGACGACGCATTGCTTCTTGTGCAGGCCGATGCGCGCCGCTTGGGTGGAAGTTGTTCGGATATGTATTTCCAAGAACTGAACATTACAGGCTCTTGGGCAGAGGCTAAGCAAGCTGGAGGGTATCACTACAGCGTACAACAAAGCGTTACGACGATTCCGCAATGGGTTGCAATTGGCCAGGTAGAGCTGAAAGTCGTCCATGGACGCACAGAGAGTGGCATCGTGTACCTGAATTTGTTTGTGAAGCATTTGGGGCGATCAGGGTTTGCCGTCGGAGGCTTGCTCGGGGAAGACGACCACAAGGACGCGATGACTCCCCCGGCGTCCTGTACCAAACACACTCGTTTGGCAGAAGCAGTGACGAGTGGCCAGGCTCCTTCCTCCGACTCGTCAGTTGCCACGGCAACCCTCGCGTGACCATGCGGGATATTGTAAGTCTAACACGCGGGCATGTGACAAGTACGCCCCTTCGGGCGACGCATGCTGTAGTGTTCTTCTGACCCGAAGAAAAGAGGATGTACTAACCCCAAAGTGCAAACACTGTTTGGGGAAGAGGTCTCTAAAACAGTTCGCGGATGCTGGACATGGCCCCGAGTGCCATCTGAGAGCGTGATGGAAGTGGCTTCAGACTGGCCCCCGAGGCCTTTGAAAAAGTCGCGTGACATCCTATTTCCCCAAATAGCAGTCCTCTCTTTTTGCCCCCCCCCCTCCCTCCTTTCAGGAGGAACTCGAGGCCGATTGCCCAGAGAGGACGCCTCATGTGCCCTCAGCGATTTTCTGGTCACGGTCCGCATGCGTCCGCACTTGACCGAAGTGCAGCGTGAGGTGCACCAATTGCGACACCGTTCCGTGTCGTGCGTGACGTGCGTGACCTGCGGGCGGGGCGAGGCGAGGCGAGGCGAAGGTGCGCGAGTTCGCACACTGGTCAGAGGCCAGGGCCAAGTCAGACAGAGCCGAGTCGCCCCACGCGCCGGCCGTGGTGCGAACAGTGTCCCGCTGGTTGTCTGGATGGCTACCCCGACAGTTGTCTGGACGGTTGTTCCCACGATGGTTGTCCCGATGGTGCTCCTCAATTCAGGCCCCCCCCCCCTCGGAGGCTCAAACGGGGCGTCTCGGGGCCCTCTTTCGGGCCCTCTCGGGGCGCCCTCGGGCGCTCTCGGGCCCCCTCTTGGGGCCCTCTGGGGCCTCTCTGGGGGCTCTCTGGGGGCCGTCCTGGGGCCATCTTGAGGCCTCCGAGGCCCATCGGAAGCGAAAAGGGGGAGAAGGCACACATCATACATGTTGCTCGGGTGGTGGAGCCATTTTTGCCTTGTGGTGGGGTCCTTGGAGGGCTCGGAGGGCACTTGAAACCGTCATGGGGCCGTCCTGAGGCCTCCTGGATGTGCGTCGGAGGCTATCTTGAGCCGTCTGGAGCTATCCTGCGCCATCTTGGAGGCCATCTTGGGGTCTCTGAGGTCCTCCCGGAGCCATGGGCGACAATGGGGCCTCTAGCGCCTCGCGCCTCCCCCCCCCTCCCAGGCCCAGGGGGGAGGGGGTCGGAGGAGGGTCAAGACACGCTCCTGGACAGCAAGCCGTCTAGCTCACTCCCACCCGCCCTCCCAACAGATACGTAACACCCGAGCCTGAGCATGCTGAGCGGTCGTCTTTGGATGGGCAGCTATTGGGAACCAAATCCGACCCCACGTGCGCGACGCTGGGGCGAGGTGCGCCACGCGTGCCCGACGGGGTGCGCCACGCTCGGGGCACGTGCAGAGTGTGTCAGGTGCTCCTGCGCACGTGACAGCACACCTCGGGGAACATGTCGCCCCCCACCACCCACGTCGAAAATCAATGCCCATCATGGTGTCTGGTGGGCCTGCGCTCACCACTTGACAGTGATCGCGGGGCGGCCGCGCATGATCCAGATTTAGCCGCGAGGTGCATTTTGTATGTTTTTTTTGTGTTGTCAAGGATGGACGCCCTGCGTCAGGTGCACTTTGCCTCAAAGTGTTTTGTGTATGATTTTTGACAGGGATGGTTTGGGGGGTGGACCTCTTGGGGTCCTCATTGTTCCTGGTTGGCTGCCGGTCGCCTGGGGGAGGGGGTGTGTATCAATAGGGGGCAGTGATTGACCCCTCCCCCGAGCAGGGAAGGAGGGGTCTTGGCAGAGAGAGAAGGCAACATCCGTTACACCACCTACGCGCAGAGGGCTGGTGGGATTCGCAAAATATCATGTATTCTGGTGCAGGCATCCCGGTTCAGGCGGACTTGGTGCTGCTTCCATCTTGTCCGTACTCAAATTACACACACGCGAAAATATTTGGCTTGCGGGTCCTTTCCTTTCTGTTCCGTGGGATGGCGGTCCCCACCACGACGAGAGCTTTGGCGATCGCGTTTGCAGCGTCCTCAGCATCAGCGCGTACCAACTGCGACCTCGATCGGTGTGGATGTTCCAAGCCGAAGTGTGCAGGCCGAGCCCACCAAATATTGCGCTGGCTAACGGCACGGGCGTCAGATCGGAGGTTCTTGTGACTGAGGTGCAGGGCTTATTGCGAGATGCGGCGTTACGGCAGCACTGTGCAGGCGACCTGCCCTGCAACGTGTGGCCTCTGCAGGGTGGCCAGCCCCAGCAGCTCCCAGGCGGCTAAGGTGCTGATGGACAGGAGCTCCAGGGGCTCCCGGGACGCAGATGATCAACAGTCCTTGGACAGGGCTCTGGCGGCGAAAGGGCCCGACCCAACGCCGAGGCCGACGCCGTGGCCGACGCCGTGGCCGACGCGGTGGCCGACGCCGAGGCCGACACCGTGGCCGACGCCGTGCCCGACGCGGTACCCGACGCCGTACCCGACGCCGAGGCCGACGCCGTGGCCGACGCCGAAGCGACGCCGTATCCGACGCGAGGCAGACGCCGTATCCGACGCAGAAGCCGACCCGAACCGACGCCGAACCCGACGCCGTACCCGACGCCGAAGCCGACGCCGAACCCGACGCCGAACCCGACGCCGTACCCGACGCCGTACCCGACGCCGTACCCTACGGCCTTCCCGACTCCGTACCCGACGGCCTTCCCGACGCCCTACCCGACGGCTTTTCCGACGCCGTACCCGACTGCCTTCCCGACGCCCTACCCGACGGCTTTCCCGACGCCCTACCCAACAGCTTTCCCGACGGCCTTCCCGACGCCCTTCCCGACGCCTAGCCCGACGCCCAGCCCGACGTATCCTTTGGGCTGGCCGACGCCACAACCAACGTTTCCTCCAGCAGCTCCTATGGCGGGCGGAGCTGCCGGAGGCGTGGCTGACAATGGCGATCCCCACCTTCAGAAGGTTCACGGCGAGCGGTTCATTTAATGCCGGCGGGAAACATGTTATGATTAAAACCTCCTGTGGAGTGACGCGCTGAAGACGCATTGCTCTTGTGCAGGCCGATGCGCGCCGACATGGGTGGAAGGTTGTTACGGATATGTATTTCCAAGAACTGGATATCACAAGGATCTTGGGCAAGAGGCTAAGCAAAGTTGCGAGGTTTATCATTACGGCGTGACGACAAAGCTTACGACGATTCCGCTGCCGCCGATTATTGGCCAGGTAGAGCTGAAAGTCGTCATGGACGCACAGAGAGTGTCATCGTGTACCTGAATTTGTTTGTGAAGCATTTGGGGCGATCAGGGTTTGCCGTCGGAGGCTTGCTCGGGGAAGACGACCACAAGGACGCGATGACTCCCCCGGCGTCCTGTACCAAACACACTCGTTTGGCAGAAGCAGTGACGAGTGGCCAGGCTCCTTCCTCCGACTCGTCAGTTGCCACGGCAACCCTCGCGTGACCATGCGGGATATTGTAAGTCTAACACGCGGGCATGTGACAAGTACGCCCCTTCGGGCGACGCATGCTGTAGTGTTCTTCTGACCCGAAGAAAAGAGGATGTACTAACCCCAAAGTGCAAACACTGTTTGGGGAAGAGGTCTCTAAAACAGTTCGCGGATGCTGGACATGGCCCCTAGTGCCATCTGAGAGCGTGATGGAAGTGGGTTCAGATTGACGCCCCCGAGGCCTTTGAAAAAGTCGCGTGACATGCTATTTCCCCAAATAGCAGTCCTCTCTTTTTGCCCCCCTCCCTCCTTTCAGGAGGAACTCGAGGCCGATTGCCCAGAGAGGACGCCTCATGTGCCCTCAGCGATTTTCTGGTCACGGTCCGCATGCGTCCGCACTTGACCGAAGTGCAGCGTGAGGTGCACCAATTGCGACACCGTTCCGTGTCGTGCGTGACTTGCGGGCGAGGCGAGGCGAGGCGAAGGTGCGCGAGTTCGCACACTGGTCAGAGGCCAGGGCCAAGTCGGACAGAGCCGAGTCGCCCCACCCGCCGGCCGTGGTGCGAACATTGTCCCGTTGGTTGTCTGGATGGCTACCCCGAAAGTTGTCTGGACGGTTGTTCCCACGATGGTTGTCCCGATGGTGCTCCTCAATTCAGGCCCCCCCCCCTCGGAGGCTCAAACGGGGCGTCTCGGGGCCCTCTTTCGGGCCCTCTCGGGGCGCCCTCGGGCGCTCTCGGGGCCCCTCTTGGGGCCCTCTGGGGCCTCTCTGGGGGCTCTCTGGGGGCCGTCCAGGGGCCATCTTGAGGCCTCCGAGGCCCATCGGAAGCGAAAAGGGGGAAGGCACACATCATACAGGTTGCTCGGGTGGTGGAGCCATTTTTGCCTCGTGGTGGGGTCCTTGGAGGGCTCGGAGGGCACTTGAAACCGTCATGGGGCCGTCCTGAGGCCTCCTGGATGTGCGTCTGAGGCTATCTTGAGCCGTCTGGAGCTATCCTGCGCCGTCTTGGAGGCCATCTTGGGGTCTCTGAGGTCCTCCCGGAGCCATGGGCGACCATGGGGGCTCTAGCGCCTCGCGCCCCCCCCCTCCCAGGCCCAGGGGGGAGGGGGTCGGAGGAGGGTCAAGACACGCTCCTGGACAGCAAGCCGTCTAGCTCACTCCCACCCGCCCTCCCAACAGATACGTAACACCCGAGCCTGAGCATGCTGAGCGGTCGTCTTTGGATGGGCAGCTATTGGGAACCAAATCCGACCCCATGTGCGCGACGCTGGGGCGAGGTGCGCCACGCGTGCCAGGCGCGCCACGCGCGCCAGGCACCCCTGTGGCCCGCGCGTGCCCGACGAGGTGCGCCACGTTCGGGGCACGTGCAGAGTGTGTCAGGTGCTCCTGAGCACGTGACAGCACACCTCGGGAAACATGTCGGCCCCCACCACCCACGTCGAAAATCAATGCCCATCATTGTGTCTGGTGGGCCTGCGCTCACCACTTGACAGTGATCACGGGGCGGCCGCGCATGATCCAGATTTAGCCGCGAGGTGCATTTTTATTTTTTTTTGTGTTGTCAGGGATGGTTGCCCTGCGTCAGGTGCACTTTGCCTCAAAGTGTTTTGTGTATGATTTTTGACAGGGATGGTTTGGGGGGTGGACCTCTTGGGGTCCTCATTGTTCCTGGTTGGCTGCCGGTCGCCTGAGGGAGGGGGTGTGTATCAATAGGGGGCAGTGATTAACCCCTCCCCCGAGCAGGGAAGGCAGAGAGAGAAGGCAACATCCGTTACACCACCTACGCGCAGAGGGCTGGTGGGATTCGCAAAACATCATGTATTCCGGTGCAGGCATCCCGGTTCAGGCAGACTTGGTGCTGCTTCCATCTTGTCCGTACTCAAATTACACACGCGAAAATATTTGGCTTGCGGGTCCTTTCCTTTCTGTTCCGTGGGATGGCGGTCCAGAAGGCACCTTGGACCGTGTTGTCCGCGTTTGCAGTCGTCTTCAGCATCAGCGTACCCACTGCGACCTCGATCGGTGTGAGTTCCAAGCCGAAGTGTGCAGATGACGACGCCCAAATTATTGCGCTGGCTAACGGCATCGGCGTCAAGATCGGAGGTTGTGCTGAGGTGCAGGCTTATTGCGAAGATGCGGCGTACGGCAGCACTGTGCAGGCGACCTGCCCTGCAACGTGTGGCCTCTGCAGCCAGCCCCAGCAGCTCCCAGGCGGCGAAGGTGCTGATGGACAGGAGCTCCAGGGGCTCCCGGGACGCAGATGATCAACAGTCCTTGGACAGGGCTCTGGCGGCGAAAGGGCCCGACCCAACGCCGAGGCCGACGCCGTGGCCGACGCCGTGGCCGACGCGGTGGCCGACGCCGAGGCCGACACCGTGGCCGACGCCGTGGCCGACGCGGTACCCGACGCCGTACCCGACGCCGAGGCCGACGCCGTGGCCGACGCCGAAGCCGACGGCGTATCCGACGCCGAGGCCGACGCCGTATCCGACGCCGAAGCCGACGCCGAACCCGACGCCGAACCCGACGCCGTATCCGACGCCGAAGCCGACGCCGAACCCGACGCCGAACCCGACGCCGTACCCGACGCCGTACCCAACGCCGTACCCTACGGCCTTCCCGACGCCGTACCCGACGGCCTTCCCGACGCCCTACCCGACGGCTTTTCCGACGCCGTACCCGACTGCCTTCCCGACGCCCTACCCGACGGCTTTCCCGACGCCCTACCCAACAGCTTTCCCGACGGCCTTCCCGACGCCCTTCCCGACGCCTAGCCCGACGCCCAGCCCGACGTATCCTTTGGGCTGGCCGACGCCACAACCAACGTTTCCTCCAGCAGCTCCTATGGCGGGCGGAGCTGCCGGAGGCGTGGCTGCCACCGGCGATCCCCACCTTCAGAATGTTTACGGCGAGCGGTTCGATTTAATGCAGGCGGGCAAACACGTTCTGATAAACATCCCTCGTGGAGTGAGCGCTGAAGACGCATTGCTTCTTGTGCAGGCCGATGCGCGCCGCTTGGGTGGAAGTTGTTCGGATATGTATTTCCAAGAACTGAACATTACAGGATCTTGGGCAGAGGCTAAGCAAGTTGGAGGTTATCACTACGGCGTACGGCAAAGCTTTACGACGATTCCGCAATGGGTTGCTATTGGCCAGGTAGAGCTGAAAGTCGTCCATGGACGCACAGAGAGTGGCATCGTGTACCTGAATTTGTTTGTGAAGCATTTGGGGCGATCAGGGTTTGCCGTCGGAGGCTTGCTCGGGGAAGACGACCACAAGGACGCGATGACTCCCCCGGCGTCCTGTACCAAACACACTCGTTTGGCAGAAGCAGTGACGAGTGGCCAGGCTCCTTCCTCCGACTCGTCAGTTGCCACGGCAACCCTCGCGTGACCATGCGGGATATTATAATTATAACACGTGGGTATGTGACAAGTACGCCCCTTCGGGCGACGCATGCTGTAGTGTTCTTCTGATCCGAAGAAAAAGAGGATGTACTAACCCCAAGTGCAAACACTGTTTGGGGAAGAGGCCTCTAAAACAGTTCGCGGATGCTGGACATGGCCCCTAGTGCCATCTGAGAGCGTGATGGAAGTGGGTTCAGACTGACGCCCCCGAGGCCTTTGAACAAGTCGCGTGACATCCTATTTCCCCAAATAGCAGTCCTCTCTTTTTGCCCCCCTCCCTCCTTTCAGGAGGAACTCGAGGCCGATTGCCCAGAGAGGACGCCTCATGTGCCCTCAGCGATTTTCTGGTCACGGTCCGCATGCGTCCGCACTTGACCGAAGTGCAGCGTGAGGTGCACCAATTGCGACACCGTTTCTTGTCGTGCGTGACCTGCGGGCGAGGCGAGGCGAGGCGAAGGTGCGCGAGTTCGCACACTGGTCAGAAGCCAGGGCCAAGTCAGACAGAGCCGAGTCGCCCCACGCGCCGGCCGTGGTGCGAACATTGTCCCGCTGGTTGTCTGGATGGCTACCCCGAAAGTTGTCTGGACGGTTGTTCCTACGATGGTTGTCCCGATGGTGCTCCTCAATTCAGGCCCCCCCCCCTCGGAGGCTCAAACGGGGCGTCTCGGGGCCCTCTTTCGGGCCCTCTCGGGGCGCCCTCGGGCGCTCTCGGGGCCCCTCTTGGGGCCCTCTGGGGCCTCTGGGGGCCGTCCAGGGGCCATCTTGAGGCCTCCGAGGCCCATCGGAAGCGAAAAGGGGAGAAGGCACACATCATACATGTTGCTCGGGTGGTGGAGCCATTTTTGCCTCGTGGTGGGGTCCTTGGAGGGCTCGGAAGGCACTTGAAACCGTCATGGGGCCGTCCTGAGGCCTCCTGGATCTGCGTCGGAGGCTATCTTGAGCCGTCTGGAGCTATCCTGCGCCGTCTTGGAGGCCATCTTGGGGTCTCTGAGGTCCTCCCGGAGCCATGGGCGACCATGGGGGCTCTGGCGCCTCGCGCCCCCCCCCCTCCCAGGCCCAGGGGGGAGGGGGTCGGAGGAGGGTCAAGACACGCTCCTGGACAGCAAGCCGTCTAGCTCACTCCCACCCGCCCTCCCAACATATACGTAACACCCGAACCTGAGCATGCTGAGCGGTCGTCTTTGGATGGGCAGCTATTGGGAACCAAATCCGACCCCATGTGCGCGATGCTGGGGCGAGGTGCGCCACGCGTGCCAGGCGCGCCACGCGCGCCAGGCACCCCTGTGGCCCGCGCGTGCCCGACGAGGTGCGCCACGTTCGGGGCACGTGCAGAGTGTGTCAGGTGCTCCTGCGCACGTGACAGCACACCTCGGGGAACATGTCGGCCCCCACCACCCACGTCGAAAATCAATGCCCATCATTGTGTCTGGTGGGCCTGCGCTCACCACTTGACAGTGATCGCGGGGCGGCCGCGCATGATCCAGATTTAGCCGCGAGGTGCATTTTGTATGGTTTTTTTTTGTTGTCAAGGATGGACGCCCTGCGTCAGGTGCACTTTGCCTCAAAGTGTTTTGTGTATGATTTTTGACAGGGATGGTTTGGAAGGTGGCCCTCTTGGGGTCCTCATTGTTCCTGGTTGGCTGCCGGTCGCCTGGGGGAGGGGGTGTGTATCAATAGGGGGCAGTGATTGACCCCTCCCCCGAGCAGGGAAGGAGGGGTCTTGGCAGAGAGAGAAGGCAACATCCGTTACACCACCTACGCGCAGAGGGCTGGTGGGATTCGCAAAATATCATGTATTCTGGTGCAGGCATCCCGGTTCAGGCGGATTTGGTGCTGCTTCCATCTTGTCCGTACTTCCCCGCGCCAGGGTAAAACGATAATCCCCCAGCATCAGATAGCCAGAAATACACACACACGAACACATTTGGCTTGCGGGTCCTTCCCTTTCTGTTTCGTGGGATGGCGGTACATAAGGCACCTTGGACCGTGCGGTCCGCGGTTGCACTCGTCCTCAGCATCAGCGTACCCACTGCGACCTCGATCGGTGTGAGTTCCAAGTCGAAGTGTGCAGATGACGACGCCCACATTATTGCGCTGGCAAGCGGCATCGGCGCCAGTATCAGTGGTTGTGCTGAGGTGCAGCCTTATTGCAAAGATGAGAAGTATGGCAGCACTGTGCAGGCGACCTGCCCAGTAACGTGTGGCCTCTGCAGGGTGGCCAGCCCCAGCAGCTCCCAGGCGGCGAAGGTGCAGATGGACAGGAGCTCCATGGGCTCCCGGGACGCGCATGATCAGCAGTCCTTGGACAGGTCTCTGGCGGCGAAAGGGCCTGACCCGACACCGAGGCCGACGCCGTGGCCGACGCCGTGGCCGACGCGGTACCCGACGCCGAGGCCGACGCCGTGGCCGACGCCGTGGCCGACGCGATACCCGACGCCGAGGCCGACGCCGTACCCGACGCCAAGGCCGACGCCGAAGCTCGACGTCCGTACCGACCCCGATGCGACGAGCCGTACGCGACACGAAGCCGACGCGAACCCGACCCGAAACCCGAGCCCGAACGCCGTACCCGACGCCGAAGCCGACGCCGAACCCGACGCCGAACCCGACGCCGTACCCGACGCCGTACCCGACGCCGTACCCGACGGCCTTCCCGACTCCGTACCCGACGGCCTTCCCGACGCCCTACCCGACGGCTTTTCCGACGCCGTACCCGACTGCCTTCCCGACGCCCTACCCGACGGCTTTCCCGACGCCCTACCCAACAGCTTTCCCGACGCTTTTCCCCGACGCCTGTCCCGACGCTAGCCCCGACGCCCAGCCGACGTATCGCTTGGCTGGCCGCGCCACAACCAACTATTCCACCAGCAGCTCCCATGGCGGGCGGAGCCAGGCCGGTAAGTCGTTGCTGCCGACCAGGCATCCCCCACCCTTCAGAATGTTTACGGCGAGCGGTTTCGATTATGCAGGCGGGCAAACACGTTCTGATAAACATCCCTCGTGGGAGTGAGCGCTGAAGACTCATTGCTTTCTTGTTCAGGAGCCGATGCGCGCCGCTTTGGGTGGAAAGTTAGTTTCGATATGTACTTCCAAGAGTTGAATATTACAGGACTTTGGGCAGAGGCCAAACAAGTATTAGGTTATCACTACGTGCGTACGGCAAAGCTTATAAGACGATTCCGCAATGGGTTGCTGTTGGCCAGGTAGAGCTGAAAGTCGTCCATGGACGCACAGAGAGTGGCATCATGTACTTGAACTTGTATGTGAAGCATTTAGGGAGATCAGGGTTTGCCGTCGGAGGCTTGCTTGGGGAAGAAGACCACAAGGACGCGATGACTCCCCCGGCGTCCTGTACCAAACACACTCGTCTGGCAGAAGCAGTGGCGAGTGGGCAGGCTCCTTCCTCCGACTCGTCAGTTGCCACGGCAACCTTCGCGTGACCATGCGGAGTATTATAACACGTGGGGATGTGGCACGTACGCCCCTTCGGGCGACGCATGCTGTAGTGTTCTTCTGATCCTGAGAAAAAAGAAAAATAGTACCCCCCCCCAAAGTGCACACACTGTTTGGGCAAGAGGCCTCTAAAACAGTTCGTGGATGCTGGACATGACCCCTAGTGCCATCTGAGAGCGTGATGGAGGTGTGGCTTCAGACCGACGTCCCCGAGGCCTTTGAAACAGTCACGTGGCATCCTACTCCCCCAAATATCAGTCCTCATCTTATTTTTGGCCCCCCCTCCCCCGCCGACCATTCAGGAGGAACTCGAGGCCGATTGCCCACAGAGGACGCCTCATGTGCCCTCAGCGATTTTCTGGTCACGGTCCGCATGCGTCCGCACTTGACCCAAGTGCAGCGTGAGGTGCACCAATTGCGACACCGTTCCGTGTCGTGCGTGACCTGCGGGCGAGGCGAGGCGAGGCGAAGGTGCGCGAGTTCGCACACTGGTCAATGGCCAGGGCCAAGTCAGACAGAGCCGAGTCGCCCCACGCGCCGGCCGTGGTGCGAACATTGTCCCGCTG